AAACACAGGCGTTGCAAAGATTTGTTAATGTTACAAGTTAAAACTGACAAGTGTCAACAACTAAATTGTTAGTCACTTTTGAATGTTGTACACACAAAAATATTAATGATTAAATGTAAAAATTAATACAAATGGTTTGACTTAGTAAACCATAGAGTGTAAACACAATTTGTTTCAGAATGTAGAAATATACTGGTTTTGTGCAAATGGTTAAGTATTCCAAAAAATGTACTAGCATTCACTTATTTTCTTAACTTCTGATTAGGAAATGCCTGGTAAAAAATAAATGGTGAAAAAAACTATTTTACAGTAGATAACCTTGTGAGGCTCTGTAATGGAAAAGAACATCTCATGCATGATAACGTCACATTTACGACATGCCCTTAGAGACTTGGCAACACAAACTAGGTTGGCTGTGCCATATTTCATGGGAACACAATAGATGTTGTGTTTTTTTACCACTGTGTTTATTTTTCACACGCAGAATCAAGTGTCATGCGCTGGAGATTCCCAGCAGTGAAGCAACAAAACAATAAGACGATGAAGCTGGCACTTCATCAGGTAAACACTTTTAAACTAATAAGTCAACCATTCATGGGCCTCAAAGAGCTTTTGTTGGAGCTGTCCAAGCAGCCATGTCTGTTCAGCATGAAAAAGACATCACAGGTGTGATATTAGTTCATGATTAAATCAGTGAGGAAAAATAACCAACAACCTTAATTGACTAAAGTATTTCAATTAAGTTTAAGCCTCATCAAATGTAACGTGAGGGTTTTTTTCTTCAAACTACAACATTCATCTGACATGAATCCAGAAAATGGATAGATATCAGATGTATGTGTCAGACAAACAATGCAAAGAAACATATTTTCCACTGTAGCAATCTCTGCCAGTGGGATCAGCCCTAAGTGCTGTTGTTTTGGTTTTTTGGTCCTTATGTGAATAATGCTTTTTCATTTTATTTGGTCCTTATGTGAATAATGCTTTTTTTAATGAGGCAGAGAGGTGTTCCACACTTTTCCTTTTTATTCATCACAATAAAATGTCACCATCCACAGCCACATAAGCACATGTTTTTTTTTCTTTTTTTCAGATTTAAACCACAGACAAAACCTACAAGATGTTACACAGGGAAGAAGTCACATTAAGATGCTGCTTAGAATTTTTTACCAAAACCACTAAGCTGAATTGGATGCTCTGCAGCAAACACTAAGAGGGGACTTCCCTGTTGTTTGTGTGAGAAGTGTCCATTTAAAACACAACTCTCTTATCTTCTTGTTGCTTAAGCCATATATTTATCGTTTACAAGAGTGCAAATTCCAAGCCTTATCGTTCCTCCTATTATATTTATAGTATGTGAGGCTGAGGTAGAGCTGTGGTTCCTCCTTACAATTTTATGGAAGCGGTTTATGACAGTGTGATTGGAGATGAGTGGAAAAACGGTGGAAAGATATTCACTTTCACCATTTACTGGCTCAGGCCCAGTGGGAAATATTTTAATATAATACCAAGCTCCAACTAGATGAGTTTAAGAATACACATGGCTGCATCTCTGTAGATGAACAAACTACTACACTTACCAAAAACCTTTGTTTTCAGTTACTCAAAGAGTATTGTTTATACGTTTTGGGAAATCTTGTGTACAACATATTAATAGCAAATGTATAGTATTCAAAAGAAAAGACCAAAACCAACACCAGACCAAAATAAATCCTACATCATCCACTGGGCTGACGTTGATTCACGTGACGAGTCTGCCGTATAAAAGAACCATTTGTAGTAAACCTGTCAACCACTGTTGCATAACAACTAGAATGTCATGTGCTTCTGGTGGAGTCCCCTGAAGGTGAGCTGCTGTTTGCGATATACAGCGGCTACAAAAGTTTCAAACGTGTGCCAATGTTGATGACAAATCAAACGTGACTAACGTTAACGTGTTATGGGCTTCTGTGTATGTGAGGACACGTTAAAACACGCCAACAGACGTTAAGTTAATGGCGAACTTCGCTGAAGCAAAAGTATCTGTGAGAAAGGCTGCGTCCGATAATGGGTGTCTTAGCATGTGTAGCTAATGCTCGGTGGTGAGGGTAGAGCAAAAAAGAAGATAAATGAACTCGTGTCTGAGCGTCCGTGGGAGATATGTGACTCTTACCCTCCTCGCCTGTCCCTTGCACGGAAGAGCCGGTCAGATATTCGGGTTAAAACCCCAGCGACGGCCGGAAAGTATACGGAGTTTACTAGCCTCCTCCAGGTCAAGGGAGGCGCCATTGCTGCTGCTCTGACGTTTTGAATGAACTTTATTGACAATACAAACACAGAAGCAGTCAGCACCACTGGCTGAACCACCGAGATCTGATGTACACACGTAAGTTCACTAACTGTATCTTACTTGCAGTTACTGAAACATTATTATTATTGTTATTTCAATCACTATTATTAGAAGCTGAACAGTTTTATAAACCTTACCATTTACAACTATGATAAAAGTAGCTTTTAAAAATGTGGTTATATTCACCACATATTGTTAAATGGTTAGAGAAATGCAGAAATGAGCAAATTAATCAATTCTAATCAGCCCTAGATTTGTTCTATCTCTTTCATTTAATGCAAAAATGTTAACGATCTGTTTGATTGTTCACATTTACATTAAGCTATGATTTGTTGGATGTAATGAATTCCTAATATTATGCTTATTATTGTAATTTATCATGTTATTTCTGGCATTAACATGATAAGAGTGACATCAACATCAAAGGTCCTATCAAAATTTACAAATAATCAGGAAGAATGCCCTGTAGACCGCACATAAAAGGAGAAGCGTTTTTGAATGCATTTTATCTTGAGGGATGTAACTTGTATTTCATTCACAAAACTTTACATTAGGTGTTAAAATATTCTCTCTCTCTCTCTCAAAGCTTGTACACCTGTGAAGAATAATAATTAACGATGACAACAATGCAACAAAAAGAAAACCCAGCAATGTGGAAAATTCTTCATCTTTTAAAGTCAACAGTAAGTAAGTATTTTTGTAAAAAAAAAAAATGTGTGTGTATATATATATATATATATTCGTTTTCTTGGCCTGTAATACAAATGTGTAATAAAGGTTATGTCGGTTTCGTTTTCTTGGCCTGTAATACAAATGTGGAATAAAGGTTGTGTCGGGGTTTTTTATCCGTAAATATGATGCCATCTGTAGTAAATACTTACTGTAAATGTTTTTAAGGTAGAATATTGGTTCCTTCTATTTTAGGAATTATTTAATTCTTATATTTGTATATAATATGAACAATACAATGTAGTTAACCACATCAAAGTTAGTTAAGAGAAAGGTACACCTGTACTACACAAGGTGTATGTTTTATTAAGAAAAAAAATTGGTAATTATGTTTTTCCTTTATTGTTTTGGTCTCTGTATAGATTGTCATAAACAACAATGAATGTGATTGATAAATAAGGCTAAGAACTTACCACAGTACAGTACAATATAATACTATAAAGTGAATACATCTGTATTTATATTGCATTCATATTTATAATACACGCATTAATGTGTGGCCCTCGTTGGACTCTTTGTTCACACACGACACAGATTAGACAGCACGGCACCCTCTAAACAGGCTTCCTCATTGCATTCAAAGACATGTTTGCTTCTTGTCATCTACATGATGTGCTCTGATGACTTTCCAATCAATTGTTGGCACCAACCTGTGTGTTTTTACTACAAGAGTCCCTTTACAGTAAAGCTCTGTTTTACTTTTCACATAAACCCTTCAACAACCAGTTGTTCTGGATTATGATTCTCTAATGACAGACCTGCTTGACTTCTAGTCATGGTTATTGGCATGGCCCAATCAGTCCATGGTGTCTGCTACTAACATTACTTTAATACTATTGTTCTTCTGGAAGAGATGACATTGCTCAAAACAGAAAAACTCATGTCCTCCATCTATTTAATCCGGTTATGAGTCCCTTGTTGTAAATACCTAGAAACCTTGTTGTCTGTGCAACATTAGTAAATCCTTCTACTACTGATGATTACTACATCTGAGTATGATGATGATCAAAACATATAATAAATGTTCATTTAAGTCAGTTGATAAGACATTCTTGTGCTGGCATAAATATGCAATGATAATAATCTGCAGTTTGCCATCTTATTACTGATAAGAAACACACACACACAGGGGGCAGAGAGGGAAATTTAAGTAGCTACAGAGTATTTCAGGTCAGGCAGCTCTGCAGGCTGTTGCTCAAGAGCACTAACAGTAAGTCAGATGGTTTCCAACAACAAAACAGCCGGAGGGCTTTTATCATCAAACACTGACTAAATTGTAGTGTGTCAGATATTAATCATCTGTAAAACCGTTAAGAAAGGTAGTAAGTACATTTTCTCTTTTTTATTTCTATTTTTTGTAACACATGCCTCCTTGGATCTGTTTTATTCTATTTTTTTTTTTTACTGGAACTGGAAATAAAAAATGAGGAATGTATATTTATATTCTATTTGTCTATGTTGGAGGAAATAACTTGAAGAAATATTTTTTTTAATGGTTTTCAAACACAGTGACATTTTTGTTAGTCCTGCAAATACCTCTTTGAAATTGGCACTATTGCTTCATATCCGTTTTTACAGACACAGTCCTTTATGATTTAAATTGGAATTGTACAAAAACTAAGGTGCCTTATTTGTCAAGCGCTATATATATATATATATATATATACACATAATATTTTTTATCAATATGTAATCCAACACAGGTCCAGCTGACAGTAAAAGTCATTGATGATGCCATGTTGCCGGGCTACTACTAGTGATACAAAGTGATTCTTCAGGTAATTGTTATTCCATTGCTTTACTGCACCACTTCTATAATATCTGCATGATGAATTTCTATGTTACGAATTAGATGTATTTACAGTATCTTGTCACCTTTCCTTCCTCCCTCTTTACTGAAACTTACTTTTCCAAACAAACCCCCCTGTGGTTCTCAGTTTAGTAATAATAATGTAACTGCACCATAAACATACACAGTGTTTGGACAGTATAAGTGAAATCCCTACTAATCTCCAGATATATTTCAACCTATAGATGAGATGTGTCTGGTGACACATTCGGTCTTGTTTTAATGATTATTCTTATCATGTTTTATGTTCTATACATTCCAAAGTCAGAGCAACAATTTGTACTTTAGAGAGATTGTGCAATTACGCTGACAGACTTATGGGAAGTGAGGTTATTTCTGCCAGTAAAGCCTTCTAAATGTTGCACTCTGCACCTTTTAACTATGAACAGCAATAATTCAGCTTTCACAAGAAAGTGACCTCAAAGTCTTATCTTGGACAGGCAGCTGCTGCTGACCTGCCACCTCTGTCTGGGCCATATATCTGCTGTATTTTGTGCCCTCCATGCAGCATGGCCCATAAACACTCCTCATAATTTCACTTCAGTGAATACAGGTTTTTTTTATATTGTCCCACATGACGAGCTGCTTTTAAACTTTTTCACCTTGTCGAGAAAAGGGAAGCCGCCAGTACCAGGAAACAGCAAAGATCGCGCTGATTATTTATTGGCACTCTTCCAAGAAAAGAGGCGCGGGCACGTGTTTCGAAGGAGGGGGGTGAGTAGATGCGCGTGCATGCGTCTGCTTACCGGAAGAAGCGGCTGAACGGAGAAGGCGGGGCCTTACGGCTTTACTCACTGGAAACAACCTCCAGTAACCTTCCTCCATACACACACATACACACTCACAGGCAAACACACACACACACACACAGGGACCGACCGTGGTAGTCCTCCCGCAAGAGAGACACCACCACCACCACATTCCTCCGCTCAGGACAGAACCCCACACTCACACACTCTCTTTGGATATTTGTCTTTGCATTTTAATGCCTGAGTTAACCGTCCATCTAGCACTACTTTCGGGTAGTTTGCAGATTTTCTCTCTCGGCGACGTGGGGTTGCGGTGCTGGGTTCCACATATCCGCAAGGTAAGTTAAAGAAAGGGGGGAAAAACAGTGAAAATAATGGCGTGCATTTCCCTGTGCATTTACGTGTTTGTAGAATGGGATAATGTGCAATTGTTGTGTTTATGAACTCTACAGTAAACAGTTGGACAGACTTGGATTGAACGGCTGCTCTAGTAACGGTCCCTCGAAGGCGCTATGGCGCCTCCGGCGGCTGCAGCCTCCCCCAATCCCTCTGTCCCGAAATGAAGCCGGTTCTAGTTCCGAGCACAAAAGCATGCTTGCCCTGATTGGGAACAGCGGTGTTATTCCCCGTAAGAAAAGAAAAAAGAGGACGGGTGGGAGGGGGAGAAACGCACCGCGCTCTATTCACTGTGACCCCGTTTCTGAAATCCCATGTTGCGGTGCGTCGGATCGAAGACAATCGGGATCCTGTTGCTGTCTGTCTGCACCGTGCTGCTGCAGCCCGGGTGAGACAGCGCTCATTTTATCTGAGTACACCCCGTTAATAAATACGTAACTATCACAACATCGTGGTTTCATCGGCATTGTAAGTCTATCAAATAGACAGGTCGATATCTTTACATATATTTCTAGACATATATTGTACTTAAGTACATTATGATGCATATGTATTCTGTTATTGGGATTAAATGACGGTGCCTGTGGATGACTAGTACAGCTGTGGTTTAACCTGATTGATTGTTGGTTCAAACAGAACATGGGCAGAAATCAGCAGCCGTCCGTGTAAATGTGCGAACTGCATAAAATATGCAACCAAGGACAGACATGTCTGAGCCACTGGTCGATCACTGATCCATGGCTGGGATAATGATACACTGGTTGCTGGAGCACACAGCGTACAATATTATTATGAATAATAGTGTCACAAAACTTTAGTTTTGTAGAATCTGAATGACAATGTCTAATTTCTGTAGCACCCCATACATTGGGGTGCTACAGTAAGGACATTCTTCTTCTTTTTTTTTTTTTTCAAACACTAACAACCCTTTTGGGCTAAAGTCACAAAAAAAACCTTTGTCCTTGAATGAGCAGAAAGTTAGTGAATAAAGTGTGTCCTAGACAGGTGGCTGAGGCAGAGGGGTGGCAGCAGACAGACAGCGGAGAAGCAGCCATTCAAATCCAGACTGACAACATAATATTGCACACCAACATTGTCTAAGATAATCCTGTTGACCATCACTGTTGCATTACATTCTTTTTTTACACAACATTTATTATTTATAATAATAATATCATTTGAATAACCCTATTTTAACCACAGTAGGAACAAACCTGTCCATGGGTGAGCAGGAAGGAAGTGCTGTAATAATTCTTCAAGGTATATGGACTAGTCACATAGTCATAGTGGTGGTTCGTCTAAAGCACAGTAGCAAAGTCAAATATTTAAAGTTCTGCGTAACTTGACATTGTCGCACATTCACCGTTCCAAATTTTCTGTCACCGCATTTTCACATAAAGAATGACTGTTTGTCTTCATTTGAACAGCAACACAACTAAGTGTGTTGGAGGCCAATATGAAGGATGCTGCATGTGATTGACAGCGGAATCATCCGTAAAAACGTTTATTGTATTGAAAATGACATAATTTTCTATAGATTAGGAAGTTTAGGAGTCACTGGGGTCGTCATCAGGAAAGGGTTAAGTAAAAAGAAACAGAATTTTCTGCATCCTTACATACCATACATCAATGATTACAGAAAGTTGAGCATATTTTTGCAAAATTGCTCATTTTAACAATCTCTTTGGAATTCTTCTTCAATATTTTTGCATCTTATCTAAAAGTCTGTGAAATGCACTGTAAATGTGTGTGTTATTTTAACATTGTTTGCCTTTTAAATTCCAGGAAACTGGATGTATTGTTGGATTATATATTGTAGTTAATTATTAAGTCTTCTACTCTATGAACCTCAGTTTGTCATGTTTCACATCTGTGTAATTACATTACATTATGTTCTCAGCCTTTAACTGCATATTTATCCTTCAATTGACAGTTTTATTTTACATGTTAATATTAACGAACATTAAACAATAATTTACTGATTATTATTTACTAAGATTTGATGAAGCTGACCATGAAACATCTTTCACAGAGGTAAAAAAAAACCTAGTGCCTGTGAGTTCCATTTATCCAGAGTGGATGAAATGGTTCTGATTGCCTGAGTCTGGGTGTAACTCTAGCCTTTGACTCCTTGTAGAAATCTGCCAATAGTGTTTAAGTTTGTCTGTGCTAGGGTTTTACCCTTGGGGACAAACCTTAGTCCTACATTTTCAACACAGAATATTGTCGTATCGTTTTGTTTCTACGCATTTTGTGATGAATGGATGAGGCGATTTCCCGAGCGCTGCCTTTGTCATGTGAAAGTGGTGTTTGATAACACTTTTGTTAACGCATCATTTGACTGCACTGTGTTTCCCCCTGTGTCCTGACATATTTTTTTGAAATGGACATATTTGACATCTAAAGTTACATGCGTTTCCCGACATGAAGATCCCCACTGCCCGCCAGTCTTTTGACTTGTTCCTCTCCTTTTGTACTTTTATACATTTTGTGGGAACTGAAAAAAACCGACAGAAACGTCCACAAAAACAACTTTGACCTTCCATATACGCTTCTCTAACTTCTGGATCTAGATCTGTTTGGATGCAAAAGTGATGGGGAGCATAGAAGGATGGTCTTTGTTGTTCGAATTCAGCCTCACTGCAATTAAAACAAACAGCATTTAATAGGGATAAACAAAGACAGGTGTATCTGTATACATTTACATTTGTCAGTGCTTTTGAATGAGTTTTCTTACATCCTAACTTTCAAACTGACTGATAAATGTCCTCTGTTCTTTTCCTCAGCTGTGTTTAGGTGCTCTCTCCCAGCCCCTCTCTGGATGCATCAGACTCTTCTGCCCCGGGGCCCTGGACCCGGTGTGGGGCCCAGCCACCCCCACCCCCCTCTCCCCCCCCTTCCCCCCCCCCCCCCCCCCACT